TTAATTGACGTAATTGTGTGCCTGTGTTGTCACTTGGCGGAAGGGCTTCTGATGGAGATAAGTGGGCGTTGCAACATGTTATGGAAGCGTGGTTTACAGTTGTAACCATCAGGAAATCCACCATATGAAATGTCATGCAATTATCACTGAAGGGCATGGACACAGGATGTGACTGGAAATACTTCAGGAGATTAGTAAGATGCAACCAAAGATAAAGGGTGAAAACAAACAGTGCATTTGCAAAGGAATTTCATTCAATCACGTTTTACATTTAAAGGCTCTTAAAAATTAGGGTTTTTGTGATGGGTGAGTACGGGTACTGATACTTGTGCTCAAGGATGCACCGATACATAATGTATGGCTTAAATTGCACCTCACCTGTAGGGAAACCGTGTGTTATTTGGACAGGGATTGCACCGCTACATCAACTGAAGTAGCACGATTTCAGTTCAAATTACATGCGACTCTTTGCAGTGCAGTGTGAACCCATTCATTCACACAAAGGTATCAGTTTCAGGTGTCTGAGTGTTTGCACGAGTACTCGTGCAAATGCTTAGTATTTACACTGTTACTGGTATAGTGCAACCCTACTCTTAATGAACCTGACTTAAAGGATAAGTTCACCTTTAAAAAAAAAAAAAAAAAAAAAAATTATAAATACATGTCTTTTTGCAGGTAAAAAAGTGTGCATTTTTATTTATTTTTTTACCTGGCGCCTAGAAAGCATTGCACCTGCAATCAGCAGATCGCTGGTGCCATGCAGGACTCCTACAAACTTGTCAGTGTATCTGTCTTCTCATACCTTGTGCGAGCAAGCAGATACATGATGACAGGAAAAGACAATGAACTATCACAGTGCTCAACAGCGCCATGGTAGATCATTGAGAACTACAAGCTGACAGCTTCATAGGCTGTCAAGACTTGTAGTTTTCCATGACTGAATAACATAGCCGGATGGGCGGAACCCTGCACAGCCGCATTTTTAAAAAAATAGTTAGCTGGTGGAGGGAGAAGATCCCCTGCTAGCTGTCACTAGATGTAGCTGAGCAGGCAGTGGCTCCGGGAGTCGAAACATGTTATATCTTCCACCCTAAAAGCAGTTGTAACATGTATCATGTTCCCAAAGGTGAACTTTAAAGGTGAACTATACTTCTCCTCAGTCCAGCAATATGGCATCTTGGAGCTTCCTGCTGGCTGCTGACATGAAAGCATTGGCATAGCTGAGATGAAATCATTTCTAAGCATGCATAGGAATACAAGTCAGCTTCTGCATTGCCAAATTTGTACAGTGAGCTGCATGTGCACAGCTCACTGTACAGGGCTGGACAGACAGGTGAGTGACTTTAATGCAGCATTGTCTCTCCTACATTAAAAATCCTGCCAGTTTGCACATTTCCATTTTTCCCATAAAGTTCTACTATAACCATTCTAGCAGTTACGATCAGAAGCTTTCTGATCATGTGTTTGCTGTGACCACCAATCACAGCAGTCACATGACCCTAAACCATGCCCCGCCTCCCGGCATTAGAAACCTCTTGAAGGCCTGGGAGGTGTCGGTCACAAGGTGTTAAACAATGAACAATTTTTTTCCCTTCAGTAACAATTAACATCAGTATAAGGGCACATTACTCCACCGAGCACCAATATAGGAGAACACTACAATTTTTCCTGTCTGTGTTTCTTTTCTGGCAATGATTATTTGTTGTACAACAAAGGTGGCGCTGTGCTAATCCTAATGAAAAGTGAAGATAAACGGTGTCGCTGATCAACAGAACAGTATAAGATGAAAAGGCGAAGAAGGATATGTTCACAGATCTGTGGTCATAAATAAAATAACATAAAAGATCCAAATAAATGCATCCTAACTCCAAAGTAGTCAACACACAAGGAAAACAGGTGCTGCACTACCCCAGTAAAAATGGGGTACAGATCTAAAGCATATGAGAAGATATACAAGTGAATATAAAAACATATAAAAGTGAGAACGTAGCAGCAAGAACGTGATCATAAAAATAACATAACCATTTAATGATAAATGAAACAAGCAACAAGATACACCCCCAATGTGATGGATGGTTGTGTGAAAATACCGGGAGAAAAAAATATATCAAATAGAAAAAATTACAAATATAAATGCATGTGAAAATGACATGGACAAATGCATGAACAAATGTGACTAATAGTGCCGAAACTATATTGAAACCTAACACAGTGGTATAAAGTCCAAAAAAACTTTGTGCAAAATCTGATGAAATAACTCCGTGCAAGACTTGTGGTGGTATCCCCTTCTTAGCGATGTTGGACCGGATAGCCTCTCAAACGATCCCTTATGACAGTCCAACATGCTTCTTGCCACAGATCTGGAGTTATTTCATCATCATCCTCCTCATACTGCATAATAAAAACACGCTACTCGACATTGTGAAATGAGCTCCCACAGATTCCACGGGAGCTCATTTCACAATGTCAAGCGGGATGTTTTTAATATGCAGTATGATGACGAAATAACTCCAGATCTGTGGCAAGAAGCTTGTTGGATTGTCATAAGGGATCGTTTGAGAGGCTATCCGGTCCAACATCGCTAGGAGTGGGATACCACCACTGTTGTGAACGGTTCATGGATTACTACCCAAAGCCCAAATGTGATCTAAACCTTTTGGCTGAGCGCCTTTTTAATGGGTGTTGGCCCCTAGGGGTCGCAGCGTGGAGGTGAGGAGCCATTTTAGGCGGTGGTGGATACATGTATTAGGTTGATCACCATACCTGTCACCTATCAAGTCTTGCACGGAGTTATTTCATCAGATTTTGCACAAAGTTTTTTTGGACTTTATACCACTGTGTTAGGTTTCAATATCGTCTCGGCACTATTAGTCACATTTGTTCATTCATTTGTCCATGTCATTTTCACATGCATTTATATTTGTCATTTTTTCTATTTGATATATTTTTTTCTCCCGGTATATTCACGCAACCACCCATCACATTGGGGGTGTATCTTGTTGCTTGTTTCATTTATCATTGGATGGTTATGTTATTTTTATGATCACATTATTGCTGCTACGTTCTCACTTTTTTATGTTTTTATATTCACTTGTATGTCTACTCATATGCTTTAGATCTGTTCCCCATATTTACGGGGGTAGTGCAGCACCTGTTTTCCATTTGTGTGTTGACTATTTTGGAGTTAGGATGCATTTATTTGGATCTTTTATGTTATTTTATTTATGACCACAGATCTGTGGACATATCCTTCTTCACTTTTTCATCTCATACTGTTCTGTTGATCAGCGACACCGTTTATCTTCACTTTATTTAGGATTAGCACAGCGCCACCTTTGTTGTACAACAAATAATAATCATTGCCAGAAAAGAAACACAGACAGGAAAAATTGTAGTGTTCTCCTATATTGGTGCTCGGTGGAGTAACGTGCCCTTATACTGATGTTAATTGTTACTGAAGGGAAAAAATTGTTTATTGCTTAACACCTTGTGACCGACACCTCCCAGGCCTCCTTGGTTCTGCCTTAATTTGTCACAGAGGAGGTGAGGAACTACCTCCAATCCATAACATTTAGATTGGGAAAAATTTGGAAAATGAAACAGACCCTTTCATTTTTTTTTTTTTTTTTTCCCCCTGGGCCTGGATGGATTCAGAAGTAAGCAGATGTAAATGGGCACATGTCTGCCTGCTCAAAGGCTTCCAATCAGCTCTGCCCGGAAAACCTGACAGGTGGACCTAATCGAACTGGCCATAAGAAGGGGTTTTTAACCTTTCCATACTCTATCTTCATAGCTTAGCAGCTAGCTTATCTAACTAGAAATGGCTATCAAAAGGACAAAGGTTTTTTTTTTTTTTTTTTTTTTTTAAACTTGTCTGACAACCTGCTGAGATTGATCATCCAGAGACATCTGCTGTGCTTATAGGTGTTCAATTGGAGTCCTGGCTGTGCATAATTTGTTAGATCTAGGTACTGGCATGTCTGTGACCAACTTGTATATCTGTAGCCATAAACTTTGTTTTGGATAGATTATGGAAGAGCTGGAAGAACCATTTGTCTGCTTTTCTTTTTTCCCCTACAGGGGAGAGTCACCCTCACTAGAAAGTGATGTGAAAACAAAAATGTATACAGCTGCACAGGAGGAGAGGGTGAGATTTACTCTAGCTTTCTGTTCTATCTCCAGAACAAGAAGTGAAGGGAAGTCTTACCAATGGGGCAAAAGAAAGAAAACAGGTTTTAAAGCGGCATTAAGCCCTCCTATTCCTTTCAGCCAAGTAATCTGCCATCTTAGCCTATATTTGAGCTGCAACTGCCATGGTGCTACACATGTGATCAGTTAAAAAATGCAGAATGCATCTAGATTGGCAGAAAAACTTTTATAAATGTTTTGTCTTGTGGTGAGAATTTAATATACTTTATAATACATCGTACAACACACACACTTCAATAATATGAAATGTCGGGGAAACGTAAAACGTGGATGGTTTTAATACTACTTAAATAAGATGCTGCTTTTTGATGTCCTAGGATAAGGAAAGCCTCCAGCAATCAGAAGTTACTTATTTACCCACCTGCTGTTGCTAACATCTACCTAGAAGTTTTATTGTACTCACGCAGTTATTTTCCCCACTCTGTTAATGTATTTTCATTGTTCTATGTGTTTTGCACTTGCCTGTGACTCAACATTTCTATGTGCATTTGATGCATTAGCCTATGTAAAGTGATCCAACAATGGACACACCCTTATGCTATTGATTGTAATGCAATACATAAGCAGTGAAAGTGACTTTTAAATGTCAATATGTACTTTGGAGCTCACATTTAGAAAGGAGAAAAAAAACCTATTACATGTTTCAGCTTTGCAATTTGAGTTTTGAAAAAGATAATTTTTTTGCAGTTTGCTAAATGTTGAAAGCACTGTATAGCTAACACGCTTGTGATCATTTCTACAGATTTGTGCCAAGACTGTTTCTTCTCTTAGACGTGTCGAGACTATGAAGAATGGGGCTGCCTATACACTTTGTTGTTGACCCACAGGGATGGTTCTGTGTTGGGGTTATTTTCTTCATCTGGCTGTACAACACATTGTTTATTCCACAGCTCATCCTCTTCCCCCGCTTTGAAGAAGGACACATCCCAGCTGCTGCCATATGGGGTATGTAACGTGCGCCCTCATCATATTTACTCATTCTGTGTATTCAAGACAGAAAACTAAATGAAACCCACTGTGGTAACAGAGATAAGAATCCTTTTAATCTACACGTTTACAGACCCTCAATACATTACACAATAATTTTAGATGGAAAGGATTTGTGTTTTTTTTGTAAGATTTAAGTGGAAAAGTCTGTAGTTTTTTGTTTCCTGCTAGCAAGCCAGCCATACACTAAAATAACGGGGAGGAGGGGGAGGAAGATATCACATTGTTGGGTTGTGTGCAGAACTTTGCAACCAAAAACCGTGGCATTGTGCATGATCAGTCACAAGCTGTCAACTGCAACACCGTAATTACTACAGACTAGTGGTGCACCAAACTGAAAATTCTGGTGCCAAAACTGATACCGAAAATTCAGAATGCATGTGGCTGAAATCCGAACCAATATGTCTGGGTATGTGGGGGTGGGGAGGCTCTAAACTTTCGTGTGTGTGTGTGTGTGTGTGTGTGTGTGTGTGTGTGTGTGTGTGTGTGTGTGTGTATATATATCCTGTTCCAAATTATTATGCAAATTATATTTTTCTCATTTACCTAAATAATTGATGTAAATAACAGTCAGCATAATTCTCATGTTATCAACTATTAAGAGTACAATTCAAATTTTATTGAACAAACCTCCTAATGATAACAGAATTTTTTTTTTAACATAAAAAAACTTACAATGCACTGTTCCAAATTATTACGCACAGTAAGTTTCAAAACACTTTATATGTTGTAAAGAACTGAAAATTGTCATTTGTTGTGTTTGCAGCATATTTACTGAAATCAAAAGCTATTTCAATCAAACTTTTAACAACGTTTTAACAGGTCGCATTACAGTTTAACATAGGACCCCTTATTTGATAGCAGCTTCACAAGTCTTCCATCCATTGAACTTGTGAGTTTTTGGACAGTTTCTGCTTGGATTTGTTTTCAAGATGTCAGTATAGCCTCCCAGAGCTGCTGTTTGGATGTAAACTGCCTCCCACCCTCATAGATCTTTTGCTTGAGGATGCTCCAAAGGTTCTCAATAGGATTGAGGTCAGGGAGGATGGAGGCCACACCATGACTTTCTCTCCTTTTATCCCCATAGCAGCCATTGATGCAGAGGTATTCTTTGCAGCATGACATGGTTCACTGTCATGAAGATGATTTTATTACGGAAAGCTTAGTTCTTCCTTCTGTACCAGGGAAGAAAGTGGTCAGTCATAAACTCCACATACTTTGCAGAGGTCATCTTTACACCTTCAGGGACCCTAAAGGGGCCGACCAGCTCTGTTCCCTTGATTCCGGCCCAAAACATGACTCCGCCGCCTTGCTGACATCGCAGCCTTGTTGGAACAGGGTGGCCGTCCACCAACCATCCACTACTCCATCCATCTGGACCATCCAGGGTTGCACGGCACTCATCAGTGAACAGGACTGTTTGAAAATTAGTCTTCATGTATTTTTCTGTCCAATGCAGCCATTTCTGCTTGTGAGCATTGGTTAGTGGTGGCCGAAATAGAAGGTTTATGCACAGTTGCAAGACTCTGGAGGACTCTACACCTTGATGTCCGTGGGACTCCAGAGGCACCAGCAGCTTCAAATATCTGTTCTCTGCTTTGTAATGGTATTTTAGCAGCTGCTCTCTTGATCCGATGCATGGATCTGGCAGAAATCTTCCTCAATGTGCCTTTATCTGCACGGACCCGTCTGTGCTCTGAATCAGCCACAAATCTCTTAATCGTGCGATGATCATGCTTAAGTTTTCATGAAATCTCTAATGTTTTCATATCTCGTTAAAGGCATTGAACTATTTCACTCTTTTCGGCAGCAGAGAGACCATTTTTTTTTTCCACATATTGCTTGAAAATGGTGCTCTGCTTAATAATGTGGAACACCCTCCTTTAGTAGTTTTTTCCTTAAATTGGGCTCACCTGCCAATCTAATTATCACAGGTGTCCGAGATTGTTTTCAGTGATCAAAAGAGCCCTGACACACAATGCCATCCATGAGTTAAACTGAAAAACAAAATGTTTAATCTTTGTGACACTTATGCAGGCCATAGATGGGGAGAAAAAAACGGCAGATTTTTCTTTTTAAAAAAACAAAAATTCGGTCGTTTTTCAACGACGTTACCATCAATGGTAAAAAAAATCGGCCGATTTTCACCCTTCTACAGCTGGCAAAAAGTGTCCCTGCAGAGAGCTCCGCTATTTCTGACAGTTCCTTCACATTTACAGCGGTTGAAACATTGTATCTATTTGTTTCCATTTCGGATACAGAGTTTTTATTCGGAAACAAATAGATACAATTTTCAACGCTGTAAATGTCAAAGAACTGTCAGAGAACTGTCAGAAATAGCGGAGCTCTCTGCAGAGATACTTTTTGCTGGACTGGAATTCTTCTTTTTTTTCATCCTACTTCTTCTTCTTCTTCATCCTCATCCTCTTCTTCTTCATCATCCTCATCCTCTTCTTCTTCTTCATCCTCATCCTCTTCATCCTCATCCTCATCCTCTTCTTCTTCATCTTTTCATCCTCTTCTTCTTCTTCTTCTTCTTCATCCTCATCCTCATCTTCTTCTTCTTCCTCTTCTTCATCCTCATCCTCTTCCTCTTCCTCATCCTCTTCTTCTTCATCATCCTCATCCTCTTCTTCTTCCTCATCCTCTTCTTCATCCTCTTCTTCCTCTTCTTCTTCATCCTCATCTTCTTCTTCTTCATCCTCATCCTCTTCTTCTTCTTCATCCTCATCCTCTTCTTCTTCTTCTTCATCCTCATCCTCTTCTTCATCCTCTTCTTCCTCTTCTTCTTCTTCATCCTCTTCTTCATCCTCTTCCTCTTCTTCTTTTTCTTCTTTTTGTCTTCCTCTTGCAGGTCACTGCTCATGCGCAGATTTTTTTATCGGTAAAAAATCGCCGATTTGCCCACTAATTGCCGCGAAAATCGGCCGATCGGCAAAATCGGCCGATTTTTTTCCAACTTTACCGAAAAACAAAACGGCCAAAATACCGAAAAACGGCCGACCAAATCGCCCACTAACGATCCGAAAATCGGCCGATTTTATTTTCGGCCGACAAATCGGCCGATTTTCGACCCATCTATGGCCTGCATTAGGGCTCGTTCACACTAGGCTGTTTTGCCAGCGCTTGCCAAACGCCCCTATAGCGTTTGGCAAGCGTTGGTCCGTGTTTGCGGAGCGTTTTTAACGCTTGCAAACGCCGCATGCGCGGTTTAGCGGCGGTTGCTAGGCGTTTGCCGAGCGCACCATAAGCCCCACAAACGCCTATAATATTTGAGTGGTGGCGCTTCACCCCGCAACCGTGTCGCAAACGCCGGCCGGGCGTTTGCGGACACCGATAGATGAGAATAGGAGGCTTCAAAGCCTCCTGACTCGACCAGAGGCGTCCGTTTTGCCGCGACGCAACGCGACGCGACGCAAACGCTCCTGTTAGAACAGCACCATGTGCTGTAATGTGCAGAATTGGCAAGGCGTTTGGGAAGCGGTAAAAACGCTTCCCAAACGCCTCTCTACCGCCTGCACACAAGGCTAGTGTGAACGTAGCCTAAAATAGAATTTGCATAATTTGGAACAGGATATATATATGTGTGTATGTATGTATATATGTGTGTATATATATATATATATATATATGTATGTATGTATATATATATATATATATATATATAGTGGGTGGGAGTGTCATGGTCTGGGGCTGCATGAGTGCTGCCAATACTGGGCAGCTACAGTTCATTGAGGGAACCATGAATGCCAACATATACTGTGACATACTGAAGCAGAGTATGATCCCCTCCCTTCGGAGACTGTGCTGCAGGGCAGTATTCCAACATAACGACCCCAAACACACCTCCAAGATGACCACTGCCTTACTAAAGAAGCTGAGGGTAAAGGTGATGGACTGGCCAAGCATGTCTCCAGACCTAAACCCTATTGAGCATCTGTGGGCATCCTCAAACGGAAGGTGGAGGAGCGCAAGGTCTCTAACATCCACTAGCTCCGTGATGTCGTCCATGGAGGAGTGGAAGAGGATTCCAGTGGCAACCTGTGAAGCTCTGGTGAACTCCATGCCCAAGAGGGTTAAGGCAGTGCTGGAAAATAATGGTGGCGCAAAATATTGACACTTTGGGACCAATTTGGACATTTTCACTTAGGGGTGTACTCACTTTTGTTGCCAGCGGTTTAGACACTAATGGCTGTGAGAGTTATTTTGAGGGGACAGCAAATTTACACTGTTCTACAATTATCCTTTGAGCAGCTTGCTTTGCAATAGTGTCTGAAGAGTTAATGACACCATGCTTTTTTAACCTTTTTCATTTAACTTTCAAAAAAATAAATTACACCAGTGAACTGTTATTTCATATGTAGTCACCATAATTGCCTGGAGCTTTCCTGCAGGTGCGCTTTCCCCATTAGTTACTTATTCTGCCTTGTAATGGACAACAGGACCCTGTCTTGGGCACAAGGGGGTTTGCAGCAGGTGCCTGGCTTCAGGCACAATCTTGAGCACATTGCTGTGCTGCAGACACACAACAGCTCCAGCATGGAGAATGACTGCTGTTCAGTCAGACTATGCCATAACCATGGCATACATCAATCATCGGGACAGCAGCAGGAGCTGCCATGGCCTTCAAGAAGCAGACCAGGCTTTGGCTGAAAGGCACATTCCAGCCTTGTCCATGGTCCACATTCCCCCATTAGACAGATTGGCAGGAAGACTTTCTCAGTGCCTGGTTGCAAGGGAATGGTCTTTTTATCCTTACATGTTCCAAGACATCTGTCACTACTAGGGGCAGAGAGACACTCCAACCGTTCTAACATCTTATTTTAGTCATTTGGCTTTTGACATCTTGGCTGTTGAAACCCAAGTCCTAAGAGATCAGACTCTGACTCCTACTCTTAGACTTCTTAATCTAGGAAATTGACCTCTTGCAAGGTCTGTCATCGCACTTGAAAGGCTCA